CACACACACACACACACACACACACACACACACACACACACACACAGAGTTTTCATCATTATAGAGTAAGATAAAAGTTGAGTTTACAGCCATCAGTGTCTGAGATATTAATCTCACTCAGATTAAACAAATTAACCCTTTTGAACAGAACAAGACTGAAATATTCAGAACAGATGAACCAAAACCATCAAACAGTCCACAAACAAGAAAATTGCTGGTTCAGCTCGTAACCACTAAATGTTTTGTTTCTGAAGAGATTTTTTCAGTTTGAATGAAGCGTCACATTTTGCAGCTCATCGTCACAGTGACTCCACAGACCAACACTCAAGTGTTGCATTTTGCATTTATTCTTTTTTTGGTGTTTTTGAGTATACAGGTTTGTTTTCTCTCGGCTGGAACAACCCTCTGATACCACTGGGCAACTGGTAATTGTTGCTCTAAAAATGATTTGTATAGTTTTATAATCGATTAAATATTGAAATGTATCATTCAATCTGTGCAACACATTAAAAGCTTTAAACCTGCAGTTTTATGTATTTATACAATCAATGAAATGCAGGAACTCTGGAAACAAAGTCATGCAATGTGAGAGAGTACTAAACACAATGATAGAATAAAAAAAATAACGTTAATATAAATCTGTTCACTGGACGAGATGATTGTACTCCTCATTCCCAAAAACTAAATCCAATACTGTTCTTTTTACTGCATTACATTTACATCTATCAAACAGATTTTACTTACACAGCCCAATAACATGTACACACAGAAGCATCGATAACTATAATCCAGTGATATTATAATTACATGTGACATTCTAAGTGACACTAATTACTTTTGCCAGTGTTTATCCAGTGCACCTAATCTGACAGTCTACTTTTATTTTTTAAACTCAGTTTCCTACTGAACTTAATCATTTTTACAGTACCTTTGGTTTGACTCATGTTTATTGAATCTCATCATTTCCTGATTTGTAAATCACAATCAGTGAAATCAAATAATGTTTTCATGGTTCCACAACTGCTTCCGGTGACAACTTTAATTTACAGAAACTGATGATTGTGGAAAAATGTAAAAGAGAGTTTCATTTTTAAACTAACTGTTCATTAATGCAGTGACAGCTCAGTTTGACCAGCAGAGGGACACACTGCGCAGGAAGTTAGTATATTTGCCTACAAAATAATAGTGTAGATAAATATACATTGTGGTAGAAATCTTACCGAAGTCGACAGAGGACAGTAATGAATTACATCAATGTCTAAAATGTTTCTGCATATAGTGGCAGCACCATGAGCTCATTATTGTTGTCCACAACCGTCAAACACCGTGTTGAAACTTTTATTTTGAAGCCGGAACTGATCAAGTATCTGACTGGAGTGATACTTGGAGCCGACATGAACACACGTGGATAATGGACGTCAGCAAAACAGGACTCTAACAACAGCTCGACACACAGGTAAATACACCTTTGTTTTCTCTCAACAACCGCAGAGTGACCATGAAGCCTCGTGTCGCTGCGACAATGTGGAGGACATGTTCTCTGTGTGGACTCTGACTATTGAAGTGAACGTCATGTCGAACTCCATTGAAAAAATGCCGGTTTAAAATTAACTTCCTCTTATTTAAAGGGATGTTGTCAACACAACTTTTAACTTTGAGCCTGTGTGTTTCCTTAAAAGCTAGATGTACATTCGGCCTATAAATTATTGTCAGATAGAAACAAATATTCAGAAAAAGTCAACTTTAGTTACACTACTTGACGCCGCTTGCTGTGGGTAAACAACGTTAGCGAGACGTGAGAACAAGCCAACAAAACTTAACGTGTCTGAAAAAAATATGCGTCACCACTTGGTAAAAGCCATCCCGAATCCAAGCTTGCCTCTTATCGATGCCTTGACACATTTAAAGTCAAACGCTGACCTGTATTTTTATATAATACTAAACACCGAAAACGTCAATGTGCAGTTTTTTGTATGGGGACTGGTTCACAGTCGGTTTACGTAGGACCTGCAGTTATTGTGATTAGCTCGTGTCAGTGACGTGTTAAATATCATCCAGGTAATTTCACCAACAGTAAAAGCTCCACATTGTAAGATACATAATGATGATGATGATGATGATTCGCTAATAATCATCCAACACTGACCATTAGCACTACAAGCTAGTTAGCCGACTAGCTAGCTAGTAGCCCAGGTTGTGTGAGGGTGGCGGTCCCAGTGAGGTGCTAATTTAAGACTTCCTGTGCTAATAAAGTTGTTTGTCGGCGGTAGACCGAAAATACGAACCCATTAGAGGACAGGCGAACTTCACTGCATCAGTTCGGGGGACTTCATGTTGATGTTGGGCCTGTTTCTAGTACCAAACACTTGACTTTTACTGATGGAGCGCAGGTGGATTGTTTCAAATTCAGTACAATCAAACAATCCAAAATGGCGCGTCGTCTTCTTCTCTCAGTGCTGCTCTGCGTCACTGCTCTCGACGCTGCCACCAATGGCGGGAAGCTTTATTGCAACAGTTGATGAGTTGTGTTTGTCATGGTGGTTTGTTTACCTGCCCTCTGACCTTAAAGGGATAGTTCGGATATTTTGCAGTGGGGTTGTACGGAGCACTCACCCATAGACAGGATGTTGCACACAGCAGGTGTCAGTCAGGCTGGAGGCCGACATACAAAGAAAGCTCCAGCTGTGGAGGGGTCGGCAACTAAATGGATTTTAGCTTTCATTAGTTTAAGTGTACGCTATATTTAGAGTATTTTCAGTGTTTCACCTTAATGTCAGGCAGTGATTTTCTTACATGGAAATGAAGCCATTACATCGCTCTCTTCAAAGCCAGACTCCATTGAGAAAAACAGCGATTTAGCGTCCCTGAACACAGGAGCTGCTGGTGTACTGCTGCCTCCACTGGTTGACTAGTTTGTGTTATTGTGCGACTTTGGCTTTTAAAGAGGTTACTTCTGATTCTTCTAAGTCACACAATAACACAAACCAACTAAATGGTTAAAGCAGCAGTAGACCAGCAGCTCCTGTGTTCAGAGAGCTAAAATTTATGTTTTTGTCAGTGGGGTCTGGCTTTTAGATGTTTGTCACAAACTTTCGGTGTCAGCTCATCTGGAGATTTGTGGTTTTTCACTGGACAGGAAGGAGATGGAAAACTTTCTACAAAATTCTACAATTTTACAATATATAAGTACAGTATACTCAAGTAAAGTACAAGTACCTTGATTTTTGCATAGAAGCACAGTACTTGCTGATAAACAGCTCCAGGGAGGTGTCGGCCTCTGTCACCACTTCCTGTCCCACACCTTCATCACTTCTAACACTTACCTTGTTTTCCACAGCCGTCTGCATCTTGCAGAACCACTGGAGCGGAGATGAAGGGGAAAGAGAGGCAGCAGCAGCAGCAGCGAGAGCTCGCGGCCTCGAAGAAGAAGAAGAGTATGGCAGCAAGCAGCAGTGACGACGAAGATTCTGACGTGGAGAGGAACTTCGCTCTGCTCACTAAAAGAGGAGGAGGAGCTGAGGAGGCGTACCATGGAGAAGAGGAAGAGGAGGAATTCAGTGATGATGACGAAGAAGAGGAAGACGAGGAGGAGGGATCGGATGTTGGTGAGGAAGAGTCTGATGGTGGTGAAGAGGAGGACGGAGACAGTGGAGCGTCTGAGGAGAAGGAGGATGATGATGATGATGATGATGATGATGATGATGATGATGATGATGATGATGAAGACCCAGATGATGCTGGTGGCAGCAGTGAGATCCAGACCAGAGATGACATTAAAAAAGGTGAAGAAGAAACAGGGAGAGCTGAGGCTGAGTTCAGACGCCGTGTGGTTAACTGTAATAAAATCAGGTGCTGTTTGAGGATCGAGCTAAAAGTCACATGATGATAAAAAGTAACGATTGGTCAACTTTCACTACATTAACATGCACAGTGAAGTGGAGCTACAGTCCCAGCTGGACGAGGACATCTAACTGGCCTACTGTCCTTGTCCCAGTATACAAGCACGGGAGGGGAATCCATTTATTGAGCCAAGTATGTGCGACTCCTCTACGATAGGTGGAGATATGCCCCCTTTCAGCTTGTTAGTATTGGACCTTTTTCCTGTTGACCTATTACGTCACAGACCAAACAATGACATCGTGTACACAAGCGGCCAAAATGAGTTTCCTCTGTGGGGTGTCTGGGCTCAGCCTTAGAGATAGGGGGAGGAGCTCTGAGTAGAGACATCAGGTTTGATGTCTGCAGACTGTACGATGACAGCGCCTACTGAGTCACAGGCTACGGCGTACGATGCAACAACTTCCCATACTGAGTGCACAAGGATGCTGCACGGGTTATTACTTCTCCAGCTGTGAAGCTCAACATAGAGGCTCACATTAATAACATTAAATAAATTATTATTTTCATCAGTAAGACTAATAATGTCCAACAATCTGATTAAAATGCAGCAGCATCAGTGGGAACAGCAGTCACACAGTGAGATGGTCATCCCAAATTTCTGACACTGTCAGAATTTAATCCCAGACTGTCTTTGATCTCAGACCGTGACAGCGACCATCCTTGAACATCTCTCACTGTGCGACATACGACCACCATTTTAGAGCCACAACCAAAGATATCGCCACGTTTCTCTTTTGTCTGGGACAGTCCAAAATCGCAGTATGTGCTGGGCTTTAGGCGAATGACCTCAAACAACTTATCTGCTGCTTGACACGAGAGGAAAACTCACACTGTTTATTTTCCATGACTAATAGCGACCGAGCCGTCCCTTTAAGAAAGGTTACGTGTACGTAACGTAGTGCGGTGGTCTGTGTTATGGAAAGTGAGACTCTGCTGGGTGAGTGCATCTAGTAATGTACCATAACCAGGCCGGCAAGCGCAGCAAACACAGTTTATGTTTAGTTTATGCTTTTTGGAAATGGAAATTTTATCGTGGGTCCTTCAAAGGTCAAAGTTTAGATGAAAATGTGAAGCCTGAATATAAACAGCTAAATCCTACACACTGGACCTTTAAGTGACGCACAGTAACATCGACCGATCCATCTCGTCTCTGTTCTCTGACCCTCTCAGAACTCTCCAACATGTCGTTTGAGGACATCATGAAGCTGCAGAACAAAGTGGGAACCAAAGTTTACAACGAGGTGGCGTACGGCAGCGACAAGAGTCAAAGGACGGGCAAAAAGAAACGCCTCAACAAGAACAGGTGATGAAGCTCAGCCTGTGACCGCAGACAGCTGCTTCGCATCATGAAGTTCACTTCCTGTGGGTCTTCATAGTGTGTTTGTGTTTTCAGGCCGATGGAGATTTCAGCCAAGAAACCAGCTCCGTTCCTCCGTCAGGTCGTCTCCGTCAGGAAACCAGTGAGTGAAGGAAACCTGCAGATCACACTGAGTCTGTGTTCTTAGAAATACTGACATGATTCTGTTTCTCACTCAGACGCTGAGAGACCCTCGATTTGACGACCTGTCTGGAGAATACAAACCTGAGATTTTTGAGAAGACGTATAAATTCATCAATGACATCAGACACAGAGAGAAAGAGGTGAGAGAGCTTCAGATCAAACTCATCTCTGCATCAAACTAGGGGTCGGCTGATACTGGCTTTTCAGGGTCGATACTGATTATTAGTAGCTGATGAGACTTGTAACAAATATTTGGAACCGATATGCATTTACAATAAAAATAAAAATCTCTCAGTCAAGTTTTTAGATTTTGGAATATAACAAACATCACACACAAAACTTTGTTTCAGTGTCTTTAGCAAATGTTTAATGAACTGAGACTTTCAACATCATGAATGAACATTTGAATTTTAATTAAAGATGAATGAATAAATAGCTCCCTGAGGTAAAGTAAAAATGAATAAAACTGGAGAATAGTCACTCAACAGCCACTTTATTAGGTACACCTGCTCACCTGCTCCTTAACGCTAATCAGCCAATCAGGTGTCAGCAGCTCATTAACATTTAGTCATGTAGACATGGTGAAGACGAGCTGCTGAAGTTCAAACGGAGCATCAGAATGATGAAGAAAGGTGATTGAAGTGACTTTGAACGTGGCATGGTTGTTGGTGCCAGACGGGCTGGTCTGAGTATTTACTGGGATTTTCAGCACAACCATCTCTAGGGTTTACAGAGGATGGTCCCAAAAAGAGAAAATATCCAGTGAGCCAAAATGCCTTGTTGATGCCAGAGGTCAGAGGAGAATGGCCAGACTGGTTCAAGATGATAGAAAGGCAACAGGAAGTCAAATAAGCACTGGTTCCAACCAAGGTGTGCAGAAGAGCATCTCTGAAGCAACAACACCTTGTCCAACCTTGAAGCAGATGGGCTACAGCAGCAGAAGACCACACCAGGTGCCACTCCTGTCAGCTAACAACAGGAAACTGAGGCTACAATTCACCAAAACTGGACAATAGAAGATTGGAAAAACCACATTCAGATGGAAGCATGGATCCATCCTGCCTTGTATCAACGCTTCAGGCTGCTGCTGGTGGTGTAATGGTGTGGGGGAGATTTTCTTAGTACCAACTGAGCATGGTTTAAACACCACAGCCTACCTGAGTATTGTTGCTGAGCGTGTCCATCCCTTTATGACCACAGTGTACCCATCTTCTGATGGCTACTTCCAGCAGGATAACGCACCATGTCACAAAGCTCACATCATCTCAAACATGACAATGAGTTCACTGTACTCCAATGGCCTCCACAGTCACCAGATCTCAGTCCAATAGAGCACCTTTGGGATGTGCTGGAACGGGAGATTCTCATCATGGATCAACTGTGTGATGTCATCATGTCAATATGGACCAACATCTCTGAGGAATGTTTCAGCACCTTGTTGAATCTGTGACACCAAGAATTAAAAAGGTACTAGCAAGGTGTACCTAATAAAGTGGCTGGTGTGTGTAAATAAGTCCCTGTTGCACTGCCACCAATGTTTTTAAAAGATACAACATTAGCTGTAGCTCCATAAATAACTCCATTAACAGTTGGTCATAATAATAATAATAATAATAATAATCTGTCAACCCCTCGATCAAACCTGACGTTAGAATAAAAAACGTGTGAACTGTTGTCGAAGCTGTTTGACGTCAGGATGTTCGACTGAGAATGAACATGTTGTTTGTCTGCAGATCATCCTGAAGCAGCTGAAGAAGACGAAGAAGAACAACCAGAGGAAGGAGAAACTGCAGTTCCTTCTGAAGAGGATGGTGAGTGTGAGACACTCAAAGTGTTTAAACCTCCTAAACTCACCTGTACACGTTAATGTAAATTATTTTTATGATAAGAAATCTTGAACAAATCAGTCTGAACTTTATAAAGACTTTGTGTCTCTCCACCACCTGCAGGTCTGTCAGGTTTAATGTCAGTCTCTCTGTTCTCTCTTCATTATTTATTTGCTCGTTAATTTGATGGACACGATACTTCTTTTTAAAAAGCAGCAGATGTAATGTATACAGGGCACCACGCCCCGATTTACAGATGTCGTCTTCTTCACCGCTGAGCTACATCCATGAAAAGCAGTGACAGAGAACTGTTTTGCAGCTGTGAAGGTTTTTGTACGTCAACTTGTAGGAAAAAACAAATATACAGCTGCAGGCGGCGACTCAAGCCAACACGGACCGTTAAGGCTGAAAGCTGCTAATGATGAAAGACCTTTAACAGTTTCTGACACCAGCATCAAAGTTAACCAACAGGTTTTATGATGAAATCTGTGCTGCGTCTGCTTGAACATTTCCTGCTCGGTGTTTCACAATAAAAGCTCTGAGCACAGGGGGGCAAATGGAGGGCGTCAGTTTTAAATGTGTGAACTGTGACGTCTGTCTGCAGGAGAACCAGGAGCGAGCCAGGCAGAGCCGAGAGCAGCAGCGAGACAGAGAGCTGCAGTTCAAGAGGCACCAGAGAGAACGAGCCAATCAGGGCGCCCGACCATTCTTCCTCAAAAACTGTAAGAACGAGTTCAAACTGAATGTTTTTATTGACTCACCTGGTGTCTTTACTTACAGCTCCAGTGACTGTACAGAAAGATGGCTGACACGTCTCCACTTCCTCCCACTGTACTTCATCCCTGTGTACTTCCTCTCCGTGTACTTCATCCCTGTGTACTTCCTCCCTGTGTACTTCCTCTCTGTGTACTTCATCCCTGTGTACTTCCTCTCCGTGTACTTCATCTCTGTGTACTTCCTCTCCGTGTACTTCATCTCTGTGTACTTCCTCTCCGTGTACTTCATCCCCGTGTACTTCATCCCTGTGTACTTCCTCTCCGTGTACTTCCTCTCCGTGTACTTTCTCCCTGTGTACGTCTTGTCAGGATTTTTAAAATTGCTAAAAAGTATTAGATTTATGAAAAAATGTCAGCAGTGACTCCTCAAGTATTAATATTATAAATGTGGAAATCAATAAACACTTTGAAATGATAGTTTTAACCTTTTAACATAATCAATACCTCCGGCTGAAGAGGACAGAAAAAAACCTGCCACATTTTACGAATGATATAATTTGATAAAGATGCTGAATCTTGTTCTTTTTCCAGCCGAGAAGAAGAAGCTGCTGCTGGCTGAAAAATACCAGGAGCTGAAGAAGAGCGGCAAACTGGAGAACTTCCTGAGCAAGAAGAGGAAGAGGAACGCCGGGAAGGACCGCAGGAAGCTGCCGAGACAGCTGCAGAACAAGAACGCTCAGTGACACAAAGAAAAAAAACACGTGAAGAAGAAGTCACTCAGCAGCTGGAGGGAGATAAAGAAAAGACTAATGACTCGTCTCAGCCTGCTGGAGGAGGATCCTGGAGAATGTCTTTGATGTGTTCAATGATGCTCGGATATCTGAACATTCAAAAGCATCGGAAGTTCATTGTTGACCTTGAGAAGGGACACTTTTCTTTTTCAGGGACTTTCACCTCGTCTCTCAGTTTTCATAATATCGGATTCAGACTGTGACATTTTGTCTGTTCCGATGGTCTCTATGTCACATTAGGTGACTGTGGAGTCATAAATCTTGCCTTGACTTGACTGACAGACGTGACAGACCACATGATGGTCCACACCAATCATGACTGGTCATCTTTCACGACGTGTGTATGATGTCATCAGATTATTCGTGTCTATTTTCATTATTATTACTATGATTTTAGTCCCTGTGTCTGGTCATGTGCCAGCTGAACTGTAATAAAAAGTGTCACGTTGTGCTAACGTGAAAACTTAGCAGGTCAGTTCCTGCAAATGTTTCACAATAAAAGCCTTTTTAGAAAATGAAGGGATTCTCTCAACTGAAAATGACGAGGAGCTTTTAATTTGAAACAGAAACAGGAAGTGTTGAGTTTGATATGACAATTTGATGCATTAAATTTGACAGGATTAAAACTGAAAACAGATTAACAAATAACGTCCTGTTTCTAATGTAGTGTGTTTGAGATGCAGCTGGTAGCCTCTGCAGCTGTGCTGAGTAAAGGCCCAGACACTATCTGTGAGTTTGATTCCTTTATATCCTCCATTATGAAGAAAGAACATTCTTTGCTAGCTTGATGCTAATGGCAGTACTCAGCGGGTTGATAAAGTGCCTCTGCTGTTTCCTTTTTACTCTGTGTGCTAACGTCCCTACAGGAAATATCTCAAAGGCTGGGCTGTTGTTGTCCTACAGTTTCCACGGCAACAACGCTGGTTCTGTTCCAAAGTCATTTGCCTTCAGTTTATTTTTTATCAAATATTTAACTAACGTTAACTCAGCATTTTCTAAAACGTCTCTGTGGAGCTCTGGTACCTGTTGCACTGTCCGTGTCTGTGACGACCAACAACCAGTCTGAGCTACATTTGTGTCTTCAGCAACTGTGTGTTGAACATGTGACCAGAACAAAAAGGGATTGTTCCTGTTGCCATGGTTACTGTTGACATGAGAAATAAAGCCACAAGGGTTTAAATCAGAATTTTCAGGGCTGAGAATGTGTCACTGATTTACTGTACTTCTTTTATAACATATACTCCTGCTCTGGACAGCACATGCAGTTTTTATTTTTCCTGAGTATATAGAGCTAATTCTGCTAATTAAACAAATTGTAAGTCTTAGCAACTGAGTTGAATTGCAAGGCAAAGTAGTATTTGGGTGGAACAAACCTTTAAACCGTCCTTCCTGCAGGAGTGTTTGGGCCCAGCAGGGACAGACAGTGCAGAGTGGGTGAATGACCAGGGGGGGGAGCTACAGGACAGAACACTCAAACTGTTTAACACACCTTACAGTGAGAGTGTGTGTCACATTTTGTTCACTGTCCACTGTAAAGAATGATTTTTATATTTTCTGTTGCCCTCCAGATGTCTGCAGAGGATTACTGTACCTTGTGTATTGTCACACAGTCGAATGTAACCAGGAGAGAACGACCATCATGTGTTCACGCAGACATACACCAGCACCGTCATCGAGCCGTCATGTCAGACACCTCTCAGTCAGGGAATTACAATTTAAAAACAAGTCACATCAACATTGTTTCTCCTCTTGAGATGAAAAATAAAAGTCCAAACGGGTAATTAAATGTAAATTTGTAGCTGTGAGTGTTTTTCTCCAGCTGATCGAACTGAGCTGAGCAAACAGTGTCAGTGTGTTTAAATCAGCTGTGACTCCAAACACCATCTGGATTTTAAGACATTACAAACTACCAGCTGTGAAGGAAGGACTCAGATCCTTCACTGCAGTTTCAGTAGTCAACCACTCCGCTGAAATACTCCAGTACAAGGAAAAGTCCTGCATTCAAAACCAGGGTGCTGTCATCCATAAAGGGGGGAAGGAGAAAAAAAAATCTAAATGTTTATTTTTACTATTTTTACTAATACTATATTTTATTTTGAAATATGGCATAAGGCCACAACAACATAACTACACAGCACAGCCTACTAAATGATAGAGAGGCCTTTTTTCTGTTTTTTTTTGTCTGGCTCGTTACACTTTACCCGCTCTCTAGAGGACATGGGCGGAGTTATCCGACATCAGGTGTACCCCAAAACACGCTGTATAGTTATCACGTCAAAACGACGAAAGTTTAAACAAACAACAAAAAATAAATCTTTGCTGAAATCAGCAGGACAGCTTGTTAAGTTAGCTGTTAGCAGTTAGCAGCTAGTTTCCTCCAAGCAGCAGGTGGCTTGACCAGGTGTGCTCAAACAGCTACTGGATTAAAAACCTTACTGAAGTCCAAGTATAAGTACGTAAAGTAAAAGTATATATATATATATGTTGCAGTAAACTGTCCTGTCTGATGTGTTTGGATTAATATTCCTGCTGCATTAATGTTTATGTGTCATTTTCCAGCTGCAGATGTTTCAGGTTCATTTTAACTCCTTTATTTCCTGTTGGGTAGTTTAATCTACAGAGATGCATTGTGGTCAATGAGATCATCATGTGTTTGTAGCGTGGCTGTCCTGTGAGAAACACGTCAGAAAAACAGCCTGTTTTCAGCTTTGTGACGACGGCTTTTCCAGCTGATCCGAGAGGGATTTTAAAGAGTTTATTAAGCTTAATAAAAACTCACCATCCGTGGTCTCCAACAAAGCTTTGTTCGAGTCAAGGTTCCCCTCCCTCCTGTGGCTCACTGGTCTATGGCCGTATATCGCGTCCATCTGGTCGAACCACTTCAAAGCTCTTTCTGCTTGAACCACTCTGGCTGTTGTGCTCTTTGATAGATCTGTAACAGGGATGTAAGTTTTGGTTAATTCTGCTTTTGTTAGCCCGACAACGCTCAGTGAGGTGAAATACAAGAGGCTGTATGCAATTTGAGACTCACTCTGTGTTTCTGTTTCTCAGATTAATCGGAGCCAAGTCCTTAACGAGGGCGCGTCTCAAACTCACCATAGACCGGAGGTTCCAGACGTAAAAGCAAATTCATACTGCTGCTAGCTGCCTGTCTGTCAACGAAGCCGACGTACTGAATGGATCAAATCCTGACAGTGAAGCGAGTCATTTAGCGGAGGTTGTGATGCACAACAAAATGTATCTCCAGATGTCTCTATCCCAGTGTAAGTCAATGGGGAAACGTCATCTCAACCGGGAGCTGTAATTCTACTGTTGTACGTCCTGGGTAGCCTGTTCTCTGTCGAATTAGTGACTATCTTCTCTGACCAACCAGTGCTCTGCTGTGACGAGTGTACTGGGGACCCAAATGCATCACTCTGGAAGTCAGCGACAGTTAATGACCTTTAATTAGGTCTCTGGGTTCAGGGGCCACGGAACAGACCTGGCCAAACCCAGAAGCAGGACCGACAACAAGTACGTGAGTCCTCGCACCTGAACAGTTCAATCTGCTAGCAGGCAGAGGTGACAGAGAGGGGTTTACTGATGGCGTGGTCGAGAAGGCAAGGGGTCTGGAATCAGAAGAACAGTCTGGTGAAGAAGCAGGGCCAACAGGGGACGAGCAAGAGGTAAGTAGAAGTCAGGCAAGGGATTGAGGAGCCGACAGGTAGGTGAAAGGAGGACACACACACAAGGCAGCGTGTGGCATCTCACAGACAGCGAGCAGGTGGAAACATACCACACAGCCACAGGCAGACGGAAAGCAGAGACACTGAGGCAGAGCTCGTGGTCGGGGACAGAAGGCTGGTGAGATTATCGGGAAACAGATGATGCAGGCAGGTCAGAGGCAGGCAGGGTCGGCAACGGGAGATCTGTCAGGTAAGGAGTGCTAGAAAGGCATGTGGGCGAAGAACAATCTGGTAAAGAGTGTGTGTGCTGGAGAAGCTTATATACCGAGCTGATTGGCTGATGAGCTGCAGCTGTGGAGGCAGGTGAGTGGAGTTGGGCTGATGAGGCAAGAGGGAGAGCAGGGAGACTGGGAGAGTGTAGCTGTGACACTCTGCAACATTTTGAATCTTCTGGTATCAGCTCAGCTTGCACAGAACCTCGACCTAAGTGGTACCAAAAAACAGAACCGGGTACTGTTCACAACTTTCGCCAATGGAAAACCAAAACAGAGCAAGTCAAATGAGGCATTACTGAAGACAGGAGAAAATTAAAGAAAACATTTAAATAAATACACGTAATGTTTGTGATGTTTATGGACAGGATCTCGAGGCGCAGCCGGTGGGTGGAAGGGGTCCGGTTTGGAGATCTCAGAGTTGCATCTCTGCTTTTCACAGATGATGTGGTTCTGTAGGCTTCATCACACCGTGACCTCCAGCATGCACTGGGGTGGTTTGCCGAGTGTAAAGCGGTCAGGATGAGAGTCAGCACCTCCAAATCTGAGGTCATGGTTTTCTGTAGGAAGATTTTGGATTGCCCCTCTGGGTTGGGGGAGAGTTACTGCCTCAAGCAAGGGAGTTCAAGTCTTTCGGGGTCTTGTTCACGAGTGAGGGTAGAATGGAGCGTGAGATGGATCGGTGGGTCGGTGCGACTTCTGCAGTGATGGGGGTGCTGCGTCATGGTGAAGAGGGAGCTGAGCCAGAAGGCAAAGCTTTTGATTTCCTGGTCCATCTGCGTCCCAACCCTCACCTATGGTCATGAGCTCTGGGTAGTGACCAAAAGAATGAGGTCACAGATACAAGCAGCCAAAATGAGTTTCCTCTGTAGGGTGTCTGGGCTCAGCCTTAGAGATAGGGGGAGGAGTCAGACATCTGGAGGGAGCTCGGAGTAGAGCCGCTGCTCCTTCGCACTGAAAGGGGTCAGTTGAGGCGTCTGATCAGGATCCTCCTGGGCGCCTCCTGCTGGAGGTGTTCTGGGCACGTCCCACTGGTAGGAGGCCCCGGGGCAGACCCAGAACACACTGGAGGGATTACATACCTCATCTGGCCTGGGAACACCTCGGGGTCCTCCAGGAGGAGCTGGAAAGTGTTGCTGGGGAGAGGGACGTCTGGGGTGCTTTGCTCGGCCTGCTGCCCCTGCGACTCGGCCCCGGATAAGCGGATGAAAGTGAATGAATAGACAGGGTATTGGAAAGAGAAGGAAAATAAATAATTCAGGGAAACACATTAGAGTGTGTGTGTTTTTACTTTGACATCTTCAGAATGAAGCAGCAGCTTATTTCTGTACGGTGGCCTGTGATGCCCACACAGAGAGGAAAGCCAGATTTTCACAGTAAAACAAGTTGAACAGACAGAAATAGAAAACGAGCTTTTAAAACTACAGAAGTGAACGGAGTGAAGTTGTGGTCGGGGGTGTTACTGTCATTACAGCTGTTACGAGCAGAAACAACCCGACCATAAATGACAACAATAGAAATGTCTTTAACACAGTGTGAAGCATCAGCGAGCTGGACGGACAGACGGACGGAGACGATGTGATTCATGATGTTTTTCTGCTCAGTGAAAACTGCTGCTGGATCATGCAACAAAAACAGCGTCATTAAAATAACCTGAGACATGACTAAAAGTTTTCACTGACATAGTGTTGATGGGGTCATTAAAACATACGGAGAGAAGTCTCCTATCTGAAAACAAGCCCACAGTACATAATTCCACCTCCACACTCACTAATGGAATGAATCTGGACACAGAGTTTTGTAGAGGAGACACAGAGCATCATTATTTCATAAAATCCTGATTTGGCCTGCAACAGGTTTCAGCTCGGCTGCCTCTGCAGTTGCAAGCGAAGTCTCTGTCTCACCCTGAGGCCCCCTCAGGTCCCTAAAAGTCAATTAGCGTTGTATAACGAGAACACAGAGCTTTAAACGTTTCTCCACGCCGGCTGAATCCTGTTTTCTCTGCTCTCTGACAGGTGGCATTCAGCCCATCAGCTCGCCTCACAATCCCCCCGTCCAACAATACAGGACAAGGTGGGGGCCCTCACAATAATGCAGGGCCTTATATTCATGAGCTGATACGACCCATTCAACCCAGCCCCCCCACCCCCGACCAGTCCGTCAGCCTCCAACTTCTCTTTTGTGTCGCTGCTGTTATAAAAGTTATAAAAGACTCTTTAGTGTTGCTGTTTGTGTGTGTGTGTGTGTGT